GACCTAGTTCACATTATGTAGACAAAAAGTGAAAAATCCATTTAGCCATAAGCTATAGAAATGCAAATAGGAGAGGGATAAGCTGAGGAGTGGATAAAGAAAATATGGTATATATACACCATGGAGTACTATTACTCAGCCATAAGAAAGAATGAAATATGTTCTTTTCAGTAATGTGGATGGAACTGGAGGCCATTATCCTAAGTGAAGTAACTCAGGAACAAAAATTACACAGCACACGTCCTCGCTTGTGGGTGGGAGCTAAGCTCTGGCTGCACAAGGACACACAGAGTAGTATAATGAGCACTGGAGACTTAAAAGGGAGGAAGCTGGGCAGGGGTGAGGGATGAAAAATTACCTATTGGGTACAATGTACACTATTCTGGAGATGGGTACACTAAAAGCCCAGACTTCACCACTATACGACATACACATGCAGCCAAATTCAACTTGTACCCTCTAAATCTATTGAAATTAAAAAAAAAAAAAAGAAGAGGTAAAGATTTAGTAGTAGAGTATCTCCTACTGAATTTATAGTTATACATAAACACTTCTTTTTCATACTTGTCTTTCTTTCTGTGATCTCAAAGTTAGACAGTTTTATTAAAACAAAAACACCATCACATAAAAATAATGTTATATTATCACAGTAGTACCTAATGCATGGGAATAAATGTAAACATGATGCATGTAGTGTATAATAACTTCCTATATTAATGTAGGGGTTATTTTGATTACCTTGCAAGGTATATTAAGTGATTTATACAGCTGAATTCTTTTGCCTTTTTTTCACAGACAAGCATATGTTAAGGTAATCTGCTTAAAATTTTCAAACAGACATGTACAAGTCTTTTGCCTTTTAAAATGTCCTTGTTTTTTTCTTAAATATATTTATTATTATTATTCAGTGGTTAGAAGGATTGATTACATTAGCATGCTATAGTAGCATATTTTTTAAATATGCTCTGTTATAAATTTGAAAGATACAGATAGGGTTTTTTTTTTTCTTTTTCCCTAACAAAGCTCTGTGTCTGTATAGATAGGATTTAACTTTAGGAATATTAATTAAGAGTCAAATTGATTTGTGTATTTTTATCATTCAAATGTAGATATAGTCTCAGAGCAAGATACTTTGATGCTCTGATTTAAGGTTCTAATAAGTTAGTTAAATTTTATTTAAATTTCATTTTTCAAATGGATATGCCATATATGTATGGCCCCAAATCCAAAAACTACAAAAGAAAATAAGAAAAAAGCAAAAAGAAAATTGAAAGTTTTTTTCTTCTTTTTTTTGAGACAGAGTCTCGCTTTGCTGCCCAGGCTAGAGTGAGTGCCGTGGCTGGCGTCAGCCTAGCTCACAGCAACCTCAAACTCCTGGCTCAAGCAATCCTCCTGTCTCAGCCTCCTGAGTAGCTGGGACTACAGGCATGCGCCACCATGCCTGGCTAATTTTTTCTCTATATATATATTAGTTGGCCAATTAATTTCTTTCTATTTATAGTAGAGACGGGGTCTTGCTCTTGCTCAGGCTGGTTTCGAACTCCTGACCTCAAGCATTCCGCCCGCCTCGGCCTCCCAGAGTGCTAGGATTGCAGGCGTGAGCCACTGCGCCCAGTCAGAAATATTTTGATATATTCAATACTGCTTTAAAATGAGTTTAATGCATACATACTTTCTGTAAGAATTAAGGAAAGATTTATACTTTAGCAAAAAGAGACTAACTGAGAAGTCTCAAGGTTAGTTAATTTCTTAATCATTAGACATTTTGGTGGAGCTGCATGTCATTTATATATCTTGCTAGTCAGTGTAGTAGATTCAGTTATTATTAACGAATATTGACTCCCTCCCCTTCCACTACTATATGGCTGGACTGAACTTTCCTGCCTTTTGTCTTTGGGTTCGGCCATGTGACTTTGATCAATGAGACATTAAGAGGATGTGATGATCAAAGGCTGAAAAGCACCTGCACAGCTGAGACTGTTTTCCTGCACTTCCGCTGTCCTCCTGAGAGCAGGCTTGGGCTAGACTGGAGGTAAAAGGAGCAGATCCGCCTCTGATGAGCTGCCCCAGCCATATGAGAAATAATAAAAACAGTTTCTGGAGACACTGAATTTTGAGATGGTTTATTACACAGCATTATTTTGGCAACAGATAAGCGATATAACCACCAATAAGAAATGCAAGAAACAGACTGTCGACTTTTGGGTTCCAGTTCTGTCACAAACTAGCTTCGTGACCTTTGCACATTTAAGCTATTTGAGCCTATTTTCACAGCAATGTGGAGCATAAAGACAGAGTGCTTCAGTAAGGTAGTTTCTCTAAGAGAAAAATAACTTTGAACTAATTGGCAAGTTTAACAATGTGGAGATTATACTGAGAGACCAATGGGGGATGTAGGAGGATTTGGTGGTAGTTACAAAAATAAGTAAATGAAAAAAAGGCAACAATTATCTTCATGAAAAGTAAATGTTATCTAAAAAATATGTTAGTACTTCTTCATAGAACATTTCTGGGCTCAGCAGGAAACAGTCATATCAATGTAAATGCTGAAAATTGATATAAACAATAATTGTGCTATACCTAAATTGAAAAGAAAGACTGAGACATTATGGCACTATAATTGCACTTGCCCTCAGGTTTCTCAGCCTTAGCACTATTGATATTTTAGGCTGGATAAGTCTTTGTTTTGGGGACTCCAATCTCTGCCTCCATCTTCACATGGAATCTTTCCCTCTGCGGGTCTGTGTCCTTTCTTTTTGTGAGAACACTAGTCCTTGGGTGTAGCACCCACCCTAATCCAGTATGACCTCACAAAAAGTAACTATATCTGCAAAGACTCTGTTTCCTAATAAACCCACATTCTGAACTTCCAGGTGGACATGAATTTTGGGAGAATGCTATTCAAATCACTACAATTACTAAAGTAATTTCAGAATGATAAGCTTAGTAAATAAATCACTTTGGGAAAATTGCAGTTGTCTTTGTGCCTCAATTCCTCAATGTGTAACATAAGGATAATAAAAATACTTGATTAATACTGCTTCAGTAAGTATTAAATGAGTTTATATATAGTGTTTATATATTTCTGGCACATAGTATTTCCTATATAAGAATTATTATTATACTACTGTTAGTATTTTCATTATTCACATAATCTGTCATCAGCAAAACTCCATGTATTCTCAAACTCTTGCTTGAATGTTCTACGCACCTTCTTGCTCACCTGAAACGTGGCTGTCCTCTAGGGACACAGTCTCCCCGCAGCCGTCTCAGGTGGTGGCTGGTCTGCAGCATTCCATGCTCCTCTTAGCTCAAAGTGTAGTAATTAATGACCTCCTAGCCCCTCACCAATATTTCCAGATTATTATTTCTTCTTCTCCCTTCATTTTGCCAGCAACCTTGATGATTATACCAACAGAGTAGCTCCCACTGCTGTGGACATCTGCTGTCTTGAGAGGTCCCCGTCACCACCCCCCAACACTACGTAAGTTATAAATCCTAGTGGTTGTAACAGCTTCATGGCCAATACAATTGAGGCATTGCCTCTCTGTCTTTGGGCCTTTTAATGTCAGTGATCGTGTTCTCTCACTAACATGATCATATCTTAGACCAGGTGGCCCCTCTTAGACTTTACTTTTAAGCATCCCCTATCTCCAGCCACCACTTCTTCTATTTCTTCTCTTTTTCTATTTTATCAACCATTTACAGTTAATTGTTTATTATCAGGGATCAGAAAGAATAAGTTTCTAAAATGGGTTTCCAAGAATAGACTTCTATATATGCATGTGTTTTTTTGCAGGGCCAGCTTCATGACTGTTCTACCTGTGCAGCAGTTCAGGGTTTCACGTCATCAAATTGGCACTAACTGATCAACATATGGTGTTCACACGTGTGGCCACGTCATTGACCTTACACCAAGGTGGATATGATGAGCTGAAAGGTGTAGTGGAAGTGAATCTATCTCAACCTATTCCTGAATTAACAGCAAGGTTTGATGTTACTATTCCAACATTTTGTACCATTTGAAACAAATGGCTAAGGTAAAGAAGCTGGATAGATGTGTACCGCATAAATTAAATGAGCACCAGAAGAGAAATGGTCTTGAAGCTTGCCTTTCTTTGCTCTCACGACATAATGGTGAACCATTTCTACACCATATAGTTACATGTGATGAAAAATGGATTCTTTTTGACAATCGCAAGCTTTCAGCACAATGGTTGGATAAAGATGAAGTGCTAAAACACAGTTGAATATTCATTTTTAAAAAGCTAATGGTATCTCTTTGGTGAACCAGAGCTAGTATTATCCCTTACAGCTTCATGAAACCTGGTCAACCCATTACAGCAGATATCTACTGCAACCAACTGGATTAAATGATGAATATGCTTGCGATTAAGCAACCAAGATTGATCAATAGAGACAGGCCAATCCTCCTGCAAGACCACATGTCGCAAAAAACAAATGCTGCTCAAACTACAGAAGCTCGACTTGGAAACTGTCTGTCATCCGTCATATTCCTCAGACCTTGCACTACCTGACTACCACTTCTTCCAGGTTTTAGACAACTTCTTGCAAGAAATAATATTCAATTCTCAACAAGCTGTGGAAAACACCTTTCATGATTTCATAGCCACTCGCTTTCCAAGCTTCTTTGTTGCTGGCATAAGCAAGCTACCATTAAGATGGCAAAACTGTGTCGATAGTTTAGGCACATACTTTGATTGCACTGCTTCTTGTTTAAGACATAATAAACTAAACTTTTGATTTGAAATCGTACATTTCATATGTAATGATCTAATGTTATGAGTTTGTGTACTCTAAGCTGGAGAATACTGATAGGCAAGCTGTTGGGTCCCAGAATACAAATTGAATCCATGGTTGAGAATTTCTACAATATTGCAGTGTTTGTCAAGTTCAAAGGAAACCACCATTCACTAGTAGTAAATAAAAAAAAAACTTCAAAGATGATCTTTCAATGAGAGATGTTTCCAGACATTTAATTAGTTTAAAAATCATATTTAAAAATGTACATACTGTTCATTTCAGCTAACATGTAGAATTACAAACTCACAGCAGAATTCATGGTGAGAAACAAAATATTAATAAAGACTATTGTGATAGATGGTGTGAAGGATGAGACAACATAGGAAATGGAATAAGTTTCTTCATTCAAGCCAGAAAGTAGATCACTGGCTTCTGATTTTAGATAGGCATCTATACAAACACCATCAGCAATGCACACATTAATAGAAGTAATGTCTTTTACAGTATCTTTAGTATTACAATTGTAGTCATTAAAACAGCTGCAGTGAAATTTGTCATAAAGTTCTTGCAAGTCCTTATCTGTGGGTTTTCCACGCACAATGTACTTTCCACCTTTCCCAATTTGAATAGCAAAACTCGTTGGGTTCAGATGAAGATAGTCACTTGAATTCCAGTCTTTCCTTGTACACACGCCTTGCTCCTTGCAAAGCACTTGGCTACACATTTTGGCTGCTAGGGAGACATTGATTATGTAAGGATTCAGTGTAGCCTGCATATAGTCCTCTAGGTTCAAGCAAGGTTTCTGTAAAATTATAAGATAGTCACAATATGAAAGGACAAGTTAGTTCATATATGAATTCACTGCAATAAACAATTTTAAAGGAAGAACAAAAAAATAGACACAGCAAGAAGTAGGGAATATTTTATCTTTTGTACCTTAATAGGCAATATTATTCCAACTATTTTTTGCAACATTTGTAAGTTTGCTGCACATGCCTATTCATGCCACTGAATAATTGACCAGTTGAGGCTTCACATACCCTAACCTCGATCTTCCTTAATAATTTATAAACTACTCATATTAGAGTATGGCCTCTGGTGTCCATTTTACCTGACTGGAATCCCAGTTCTGATAGTGACCACCTGTATGAATTTGGGAATTTCTCAAGCTTTCTAAGCCTTACTTTCTTATCTGGGTGACTTGGGCAAATTAATTAACCTGGTTATGCTTCAGCTTCACTATCTATAAGATAAAGGTAATTATGGCACTTACCTAATAGGGTTGTTGTGAAGATGAAAAGATATGATACATATAAAAGTGTTTAACACAGGGCCTAGCACGTCTTTGGTTGACCCTTAATAAGTTATAAATAAATGTAATAAGCACCACATTTGTCAGACAAGTTTAAACAGCATTGAAAAGAGTGATTTTTAAAATTATTTTTAAATTTCAATAGATTTAGGGGGTACAAATGGTTTTTTCTTACATAGATGAATTTCACAGGGGTGAAGTCAGGGCTTTTAGTGTTTCTATCACACAAATAGTGTATGTTGTACCCCATGGGTAATTTTTCATTCCTCATCCCCCTCACAACCTTCCTCCTTCTTAGTCTTCAATGCCCATTATAATATTCTGTATGACAACCATGCATACTCATCACTTAGCTCCCATTTATAACTCTCAGTTATAAGCTCCCACTTACAACTGAGAATATGAGGTATTTGCTTTTCTGTTCCTTAGACACTTTACTTAGGATAATGGCCTCCAGTTCTATCCAAGTTGCTACAGAAGAATTCATTATTTCATTCTTTTTTATGGCTGAGTAGTATTCTATGATATATATATATACATATATAATTTATATGATATATGTATGTATGTATATATATGACATATATATCACCTTTTCTGTATCCACTCATAAGTTGATGGAAACTTAGGATGATTCCATATCTTTTCAATTGCAAATTGTGCCATAATAAACATACAAATGCAGGTCTCTTTTTTATATAATGACTTGTTTTCCTTTTGGTAGTTACCCAGCAGTGGGATTGCTAGATCAAATGGTAGGTCTACATTTAGTTCTTTGAGGATTCTCCATACTTATACTGTTTTCCATAGAGGTTTTACTAATTTCTATTCCCACCAATAGTGTATAAGCGATACCTTTTCATTGCATACACACCATCTATTGTTTTTTGACTTTTTAATAATGGCCTGTCTCACAGAGGTAAGGTAGTATCTCATTGTGGTTTTAATTTGCATTTTCCTATGATTAGTGATGTTGGGTATTTTTCCATATGTTTGTTGGCCCCCATTAATATATTTTCTTTTTAAAAATGTCTGTTCATGTCTTTGCCCACTCTTTAATGGGGTAATTTGTTGTTTTCTTGCTGATTTGATGAGATTTTTATAGATTCCAGATATTAGTCTTTTGTCAGATATAGTTTGAAAATATTTTCTCCCACTCTGTAGGTTGTCTGTTCATTCTGTTGATGCTTTCTTTTGCAGTGCAGAAGCTTTTTAGTTTACTTAACTCCCATTTATTAATTTTGTTTTTGCTGTATTTGCTTTTGGGATCTTAGTCATAAATATTAATACTTGCCTAGGCCAATGTCCAGAAGAGTTTTACCTAGGTTTTCTTCTAGAATTCTTATGGCTTTAAGTCTTATATTTCAGTCTTTAATCCATCTTTAGTTACTTTTTGCATGTGGTGAAAGAAATGGATCCAGTTCCATACTTGTGCCTCTAGTTCTCCAGTTTTCCAGGCAACATTTCTTGAATAGGGCATCCTTTCTATGGTGTATGTTTTGTCTGCTTTGTCAAAATCCGTTAGTTGTAGTTATGGATTCTCTATTCTATTCCTTTGACCTACATGTCTACATTTATACCAGTACCATGCTATTTTGGCTACTATAGCATTATAGTATAATTTGAAGTCTGATAATGTGATGTCTCCAGATTTGCTCATTTTGCTTAGGATTTCTTTGGCTATTCAGGCTCTTTTTTGATTCCAAATGAAATTTAGGATTGGTTTTTTTACTTCTGTGAAACATGACTTGGTATTTTGATGAGAATTGAATTTAATCTGTAAATCACTTTGGGCAATGTGGACATTTTAACAATATTGATCCTTCCAATCTATGAGCCTGAGATGTTTTTCCATTTGTGTCATCTATGATTTCTTTCATCAGTGTATTTTAGTTCTACTTGTACATATCTCGGACCTCCTTAATTAAGTATATTCCTAGGTATTTTAATTTTGTTTTGCAGCTATTATAAATGGTATTGAGTTTTAATTTGCTTCTCAGTTTGGCTATATTATTAGCATATAAAAATGCTACTGATTTGTGTACATTCAGATCATTTCATTGATATGTGAAACACTGTTCCATTCATCATCCAATCTAGGTCTAGATTGCTACCTAGTTGCTTTGTTTTCTCCCTTGTGTTACTGTTTAATAAAAGTGAGATTTTACTTTTGAGTGTTTTTATACTGGTGAGTATCAACCATTCTTTTTTATGTTTAGAGAAGTTTTGAGCATTTGTTGTAGGGCTGTTATGGTGGTAAAAAATTCTCTTAGTGTTTACTTGTCTGGAGAAGACTATTTCTCCTTCATTAATAAAACTTAGTTTGGCAGGAAGACTAAAGATAGAACCCCAATCCCTTCTAGTTTATAAGGTTTCTACTAAAAAGTCTGCTGTTAGTTTGATGGGATTTCCTTTGAAAATTACTTAATATTTTCACTTCCTGACCTGTAGGAGTTCCTCCTTCATGTTAACTTTGGCTAGTCTGATGACTATGTACCTTGGTGATATCCTTTTTGAAATAAATCTCCCAGGAGTTTGTTGAGCTTATTTTATCTGGGTGTCTAAATCTCTAGCAAGAGCAGGGAAGTTTTCCTCAATTATTCCCTCAAATAGATTTTTGAAGCTTTTTTCTTTTTCTTCATCTCTTTCAGGGACACTTATGATTCTTATGTTTTGGTATTTTACATAATCTCATATTTCTCAGAACTTTATACATTTCTTTTGATTATTTTTCCTTTACTTTTGACTGACTGGGTTAATTTGAAAGTCTTATCTTCAAGCTCTGAAATTCTTTCTTCTGCTCAGTCTAGACTGTTTTTTAAAGTTTCCACTGTTTTTTGTGTTTCCCTAAATGATTTTTTTATTTCTAGAAGTTCTGTTTGTTTATGTGTGTGCATTTGTGTGTATGTATACATATATATCTTTAGTAAATTTTTCAGCCATTCCCTAAATTATTTTTCTGGTTTCTTTGAGTTGGTTTCCACTTTCTCTTGGATCTTACTGAGCTCCCTCACAGCTGTATTTTTAATTTTTTATCTATCATTTCCATATTTTCATTTTGGTTGGGTCCATTGCTAGAAAGCTGGTGTGATCCTTTGAAGGTAGTCTTTACATTCTGTTTGTTCATACATATCATTGCCAGAATTCTTGCACTGACTACTTCTCATCTGGTGAGGCTATCATTTTGTTTTTCAATTATGTTTACATTGAACTTTTTCCCCCTTCCTCTTAAGGGTGTGACTATACCATATGTTGGGTAAGGATCTTTGGCTTTGTTTGTGGTTATTTTTTTTGTGGGGGTACCTAGGATGTGAATGAATACCTTGGTTGTAGATAGCATTAGTGCAGTGGTTTTCCCAAATGCTGGTTATTTATAGATTATAGCAGTGGTGTACTAAGTGTGCAGGTAGATTCTCTGCCTCCTGTCAAGATAGGGAGGTGAAGATCTTTGAAATCTTATGTATTTCCCTAGCCCTATGCACTTCTAAGAGTATGAAATATATTGGGATGTCCAGTTTAATCTCTAAGTCAATAGGTGGCATTTGAGGATGACAGTCAGCCAAACTGTGTGCAATTGAATCAGTAAATGATGTATTGGGCTATACAAATTGACTTCTGTGCCAGTAGGTGGGGCATGCAGAAACAGTCAGCTGTGAGGGTGTTTGTGGGACTTATGCCCGGTCATCGTCAATCAAGAGATGCACTTGGATGGCCCAGGCAGTGGGAGGAGCTCTGGAACTCCCAGAGGACCCCTTCTTGTGCTCTGCCACTACAAAGATAGGAGGAAACGCAAAGCCTGGTGGGGCTGGGTTGGGCCAGGTTACATCCAAGCTCCCCAAAAGCAGGTGCAAGTGTTGTCTCAACAGAGATTAGGACTTGGCTCTCAGGCCAATGGGGAAATCATCCAGGCAGGGGCAGAATTGTCCCCACCACACCAAAGAATCTGCTTGTTGGGCTGGGGCAGTCCCAAATTCATAGTCCAACCAATGGGAGTGGTGTTTATTCTTTTCTCACTCTCCTTGCCCAACAGATCTTTCTCTGACCTCTTGCCCCTGGCAGCAGGCCAAACCAGCAAAGCCAGTCACATTCCACTTTCCTTCATCCCCCAAAACTTTATAGCTCAAGTAACCTTCCTGTCCCATAAGTATATCCAATACTATGGGACAGAACTCTGGGGAATCCTGCAGCTCTCCTGTGTTACCTTGGACCTTTGTGGTTGTCACAGTCTGAGCAGGTGGTTGGAAGTATTTGTGCAGGGTGCAGTGACAAGGAAACTGAAAGGCTGAGGCTCCCTGGAGAGGATAAAGGCACACAATGAGTACACAAGAAATATGGCACCCACCACAATGGCTTGGGTCAGTGGTGGGGGGAAGCAACAGAGAGCATGCTGGCAGCCTAGTGCTCTGTTCTTAAGAAGGTCTCATTTCACTGATGGTAGCAGCGCTAGGGCTTGTAAGAGCAGAGGAGCTCTCCAACAATTCAGGAACCAGAAGACTGGCACATGTGGACGAGGAAGAAAAATAAACACCCCCACCTACCCTTTGCACGCAACTCCAAGTTCCTCAAAGGTCTATGTCTTTTGAAATCTTGTTTCTTCTTATTCTGCTTTGCATCTTCTTCCTGTGTGATCACCAGTAGGTTCTGGCACTCTTTCCTCAGAACTATAACTGGACTATGTTTTTTCACCTGAAACTTTTTCTTCTTTCTGGGATGATCTGGCAACCAAAATTCAGTCAGCCATCTTGTTGGGGAATCTAAGAGTGATTTTTAAATTGCTGACTCAAAACAACTAAATAGGTCCAACTGATTATACTTTATGTAAATGTTACATATAGTCTAATTGCAGATGAATAGTGACAGCTCTTTTACAAATTTGGCAGAATATGAGAGATGAGTAACTGAAATGATTCATCTTGAGAGTGGTATATCCTACAACCTAGACACTGTGCTTTTAAAAACACTGAAGTTGGTCACTTATGTTTATGATCAATAGTTCCATTGATCATAGTTCCAGTATGCTGGCTGAGTTAATCCTTCAGCAGACCAAAGGAAGTGGTGGTGGTAGGCTGGGAGGCAAGTCAAGGAATCTTGACAGCTTCCGCTTGAATCTATTTCTTATTATCTTCCTTGGGATGATGTCATCTACTGTTGGCAGAGTAATTGCGTCCAAAGACATTGACACCCTAATCCCCTGGAATCTGTGACTATGTCAGTTTACATGGCAAAAGGGACTTGGCAGATGTGACTGAGGATATGGACCTTGAGAAGAGGAGATTATCCTGAGTTATCTGGATGTGCTCAATGTAATGACATGAGTCTATATGTGTAGAAACTTTTCAAGCTGGGTTAGAAAGATAAGACACAAGGAAGAGGAGAGATACAAAGTCACCATTGCTGACTTTGAAGACAGAACAAAACGGCCATGAGCTAGGGAATATACTGGTCTCTAGAAGCCAGGAAATGGCTTTTAGCCGACAGCCAGCCAGATAATGGAGATCTCATTGCTCCAACCACAAGGAACTGAATCTGCTGACAACCCAAATGAGAAAGTAAAGACCATCCCCTAGAAAGGAATACAGCCCTGCTGATACCTTGATTTTAGCCCATTGAGATGCACATTGGATTTCTGAACTATTGAACTATAAGATAACACATTTCTAGTTTTTAAGCCACTAAATTTGTTGTAATTTTCATGAAAGCAACAGAAAACTAATATGCTACCCATCTTTTTAATCCTCCAATAGCTTTGCATGGTACTTGGAATAAAATTCAATCTCTTCTCTTGACTTGTACATAGTCTGACATGGTATAACTCTTCCTTCCTCTTGTATAACCCTCCCACACCCACTCTACCTTAGACATAAGAGTTATTTCACTTTTAGCATGGCAGGTTCATTTTCAAACTTCTTGGAATGATCTTTCCTCTAATTTTTAACACAATTGACTCCATCTTGTCATTCAGATGACATGTTTAATTAGACAATACCCTTCTTGGATACTTTTCTTGTGAATCTCTCACATCTGTCTATTTTAATGTCCTGTATAACACTTACGATATCAAATATTTTCTTGTTTTTTTATTGTTTTTAAGCACTTATGAGATTTAAGAGTACATGGTCTTTGTCAAGATTCTTCAATGCTATGTTCCCAGTACCAAGGATATGAGAATTTATAAAAGTTCAGTTAACATTGCAGTTGCTTCCTCAATTCCACAAAGACAAGGGTTAGGGGCAAAGAGGAGTAAAGGGATAATAATGTTTTGAGAATTTTAGCCTACATAAGATATAGTCTATGGAAAGGTCTTAAAACTGACTCTTTAATAGATAAGGCCTGGTTTATATTATGTGTGTGTGTCTGTGTGTATGTGGTGTGTGTGTGCTGTCTGGGAAGTATCCAGACATTATGAATACTATTTTTCATATTACAGGGTTATATGCTTTCTCGACAGCCCTATACACATATATCATATATCCATGGTGTAAATATTCCTACTATGGCCAGTTTCAAGCTACCAACTGACCATTACTGAATGCAGAATTGGGAATTGAGTACACCACCACTACACAGTGTGGCAATAAGGGGTAGAGTAACACATCATTACATAGTATTTCCACTTATACAAATACAAGAGATGTAAATAATCTCAAGAGCATGATAATAGTAAAAATAAGTCAAATAATACATATACTGAAAATTTATTACCTTTTTTAACATAATTCATCTTGTTATAAATTTCTATAATTTAATTTTTAACAATGGCTGTATTTAACAACTAGCTCACAAAATTTCTGAATATTTAATAAGCAGGTCTTATGAGTGGGACCGGTAGAACTGGCTCTGTCATACCACTAGATCTAATAAAAGGAAATGAAGGAAAATAGTTCACTTACATTTGTTTTAGGTCTATTCCAAAAATACAAGTAAACCTGCAATTACTGGTTTCTCAAGTTGTCAGTAAATGAGTGGAAACATGACAAGTAATCCATGACTCTACTGATTTAAAATGACATAGAATAAAAGGGAAGTAATGATAAAGCTAGCATTCAAAATGAACACAAATTGGGAAATGTAGCAGAAACATACAAACAGAATATACAAGGGACAATTTCAAGATAGTAGAAGAAAATAATCATATTAAAGTTGAAGGATTATCCCTGACATGAATAATAGTGAAGACGATTTAGGAAGTGTGATAGTAGAATATGAATCTAAGATTAAAGTGCCATTAAAAAACAAGTATGGCACTTATATTGCATATCATGTTATACTACTCATTGAGGAATGCCTAACTGATTCTTCCCCAGAGTAAGAGTAGAGTTCTCAGTGAAAGAAAGAAAGAAGAAAGAAAGAAAGAAAGAAAGAAAGAAAGAAAGAAAGAAAGAAAGAAAGATTTATAAATATTTATACAATTTTAAATAATAGGACCATTGAGAAAGGATATGGATTTGGGAAAACAACTAATAAAAATTAGGAAAATACTTAGTAGAATTATAATTTTAAAATAATTTTCTGACATGAAAGATTTTACCATGGGACACATACCTTTCTCTGAACTTATATTTTCTGTTGTTCCTTTTTATTGGAGATCAAACTAGAGACAATAGAATTATTCAAAATAGACAGAAGGACCCAGATTTCCTTCAAAGAATTTCCTGAATATAACTGCTGTTAAGTATTTTTGAATGAAGTAAGATTATGGCTGTTGTATCTGAAGGAGAAGAGATGAATATAATCCTTCCCAAACGGTCTATTCTGATCTTAGAGTATAAAGTTTATTCTCTACAGGTCTTAAGATAGGACCCCTGGGCCATGAGCATAATTTGATTTTCTCCATGGTGTCATTAGTATTTCCACATCCACCAGGGAAGGGAAAGTTCAGCTCCAATTTGGCAGTGACTATGACACCTTTACTCTTGCACTGAGCCAAGAGAATTGAAGAGGTGGGAAATAAAGACCTGATGTGGAGAATTAAAGAAGAATGAAACTAAAGGAAGAGATACCTATTTTCTGACACAAACACCATGTCAAAAAATTGATATCATAGTCTTGGTTTGGCTACATAAAAGTCATGCAGCCTAGAGAAATTCAGTTAATGTCACTGAATTTGTTTCTTCACTGAAAAACAGGTACAGTATTTCTGCCTTATAGTAACCACAAAAATCCAAGATATTTTCATTCAGGTAGTATTAATTGAGCACCTGCTACTACATGCCAAAACAATCCTTGAAAACATTAAAGGTAGAAATATTTTCATCTATTTTTCTACCAATTCAACTTACTGTACTTCTCAGCACACTAAGGCTTCCCCATATTACAATTCCAGAGGCACCAAGAGCAACTGTTTCACCAAGTGTGTTCACAAGGTCATCCTGGAAAATGTGATAGAAAGAGTTATCAGATGAAAATAAAATAAAATTGTTATACACAGGACAGTAACACCATAGCTAAGCATGTTGACCCAATAATAGTAATTTAAATATTTCTCCACTATATCTTTTACATAGCCATTGCTTTACTATAAAAAATACTTTTCTTGTTTTAATTACTTCTATTGACAAGAGAGCAGCACATGAAAAAGTAAAAGAAACTGAGTTAGTACATTGTCTCTATTATCTAATTTTCTATGCCTGCTAAGAGATCATCAATCTTACATTAAAGATTAAATATATTCTTATTTTGAAATCATATAATGATATAGAACTACTTGTGTATACATATTAAAAGCTAGATTTCACTCCCTTCAAAAATAATAAATTTCACTGAATACTTTTTGTAGACACTAGTTCATTGCCTTCATAACAGATTTATTTACTTACCGTAGAAAGGAATTTCAAAGTTTCATCTGTAAAAACTAGGCGGGCATATACAAAAACCGGAAGTGGCCTTTTAGCATCAGGTATTTGGGAAGTCCTGATGGCTTCATAAACTCGATTTCGCACATAGAGTGCAGCTTGTGTAGGAGACATTACTGTGTTCAGATAAATTGATGGGAAGAGGGCAGTGCTTTCTTTCCACAACCAGTCAAGAGCATCATTTCTTTTCTTTTCTATATGAAAGCAACTTCCATTGAAACCAGGTTGTTTATAATTATGATTGTAACAATCAGGAAAGAGATAATAACCCCATAAGTGATTTGGCCGAAGTGATTTCCCCAATTTTAAAGTCTCTACCATGAAATCCTTTCCTGCCTTTTCAAATTCATCTTGGGCTATCTTGGTAGCTTCTGCGTCACTGAGGCTTGCATTTTTTTGCCGAACCAAGTCAATAGAATGAGTCCTATAAATATCTTTAGGCTTCCAGTTTCTTGCCCAAGTGGGCCTCCATTCTTCCCAGTCAATGACAGCCAAGCCCACATGGTCTGTTGGTATGTAATAAAGAATGTCTTGCCTAGCTTTGTCCAAATGGTCTTGTAAGGACGTATTCTGAGGGATTCCTCCATGCACAACTGTGCCCGCATGGTCTATATAAGGGTAGTAGCCAAGTCTATCAACATAAAATATTGTAACATCTTGGCCTGTGACATTTTTTCGGGGGCTTCCTACTAAAGAGAAGAGGCTCAGATCTAGTGGCTCATTAAGTGCTCCAACACAAAGCTCAGTAGGGGCATTCCAGGCCCAGAGGAAAGGCACCTTTGGGATAATAGGTGATGCTCTGAAATCCAGAGTCAAGCAACATGGAATCAGAAGGAAGGTGAACACTGTCTGGGATGCTCCACTTGAGTCATCAAAGCTTCTCCAAAAGATGTGCTTGAACCTTAGCACTCTCATTGCAAAGAGTAATGACTTTTATAAAAATACTTATTTCTTCCTACACACTTTTTTACCCAATATTTGATGCAACATATGAGAACAGATGAAAGAGAGGGTAATAAAGCCACTTTGATAGATAAAGAGGTATAATGATTATATTATATTTAAATATTATTCTTCTTGTTTCATGTTTCAGGAGTGTTTTGCAAGTTGTATCTCTATAACTGAAAAAAGAAACATAGAACATATTGTTATGCTGCATTTCATAATAAAGATTGTAAGCTTTAACAAGTTCTCAAATTTATGTGCAGGGAGTTTAATTCAATTTTTAACTATGGAGGACCTCCTCATTTTGGAATCAATAAAACTATTTCCTCTTATGTATGATACAAATTCTATAATGGCCAACATTTGTTTCATCTTCCCAAATCCCTAAAGAGCCTTTAGAGAGGTGAAGGTATCTATTTTTCCTTTTGCCTTCCTAGGTGTGCAGAATGCTGTACCAAGTAATGCCTTGGCAAAATCCCATTGAATGAAAATAAATCCAAAGTTGACTCTATTCTTTTCATTTATTGCTTCTTGACAGACCACCTTATAGTGGTCTCTAAATATTGAAAACAGCCTGTCACAGAATTGTGAAATTTCATATTCTTTTGTCTTTTTAAACAGGAACAGTCAGGGAGAAGGGGAAAGTCACTTCTGCCAGAGGTGTTAAGTCGAAAGTTTGCTTGTACTTATTAAATCAACCAAAAACTCCTACCAAAGAAGTTTAAGTGCTCTTCGGAACACTGCTCGATCAAGTCTTACAGTAATGTAATCTAAGTTAATAAAACATTTTATTTCTTTACATTTTCTATGGAAAGGATTAATAGCAGCCTAGCTTAAGAAAAGCAATATGTAGATTTTGGTCTTTTTGTTCTTTGATAAGTGAAATTGTGTTATCCTTCTGATTTTTACAAAGTGAAGTGTTACAGCACACACTTTTGCCGTATGGTACCATTTTTGTGGTATAATAAAATGGTCAGAGTCATTTGGTATTTGCAAAAATTACCTACAAAAGGACATATTTAAATGTTCTGTGATTCAAGGAGGAAATTAGAACTTTTCTTTTCAGTTAGATAATAACATACCACTATGTGAAGGTACAACAAGAATTATACCATTCTTTCCAGAAACTTGGTCTTTACTCTAGCAAATTATCCATTCATTCTCATGGCTGAAAAATAAATTTCTCTAAAGACAACACAATAGTCAGAATAAAATGAAATCTTAGAAGCATTACAGTCTAATGTTTTGAAAATAATGGATTTTTTCATTCATGTTTGGAACATGTAAAGTAGCTAAAGATTTTCATAGTTTAAACCTTTATAAACTTTTTCACTCAAGAACTGAGAAAATCTTCATCTTAAAAATATTATTTGGGGAAAAAACTAACTCCTTTTAAATGCCAACTACTAACACCAATGTCTGAGTGGCACAGAGCGGGAGAAATAAACAGAATAAAGGATTAACTTTCCTTGTATCTTAGGGCAGGAGTAGACTCATCTTATTGAAATAAACATTCAAATCTATTTCCTCATGATCATTTTATATAAGAAAAACATGGAGCAGAATGAGCCCATTGAGAAGATCTCTACCCACAGAAATCTTCAAATAAGAATGGACATTTCTATTCTTGAAAATTGACTGAATGAAATATCTCTTCTTTAGTGTAAATCCAAGACAAAGCCTTGGGGGCACAAAATTGGGAACAGAACTTGAAGTTAGCATCTAAGAAAGCATCTTACTAGTATTTAAAGTATCAAATAGAGAACTTTACCTATTTAAATAGAGAAACTAATAGAGAATCTCATCTCCCTGGAAACCATGTCACTGTACTCCAGCCTGGGTAACAGAGTGAGACCCAGTCTAAAAAAAAAAAAAAAAGAAAAGAAATTAAACTCTTTTTCCTATTGTAAAGAAAATTGATCACAGGCACACATGCTAGCTAAGCGTTTGAAACCAGAATCCCTTGTCTGTGGATAAGTCCAAATTATTTTGGAATAATAATTAGGTAACTACCTGTAGATATGCACATATATAGTATTCACCCCTATGTATAGTAGCATCTATGAAATAAGAAAAGAACTTCAATACACAATGATAAATTGTTAAATATGGTATATTTCAGCCTGAGGAAATTTATGCAGGTTTAAGAACAAATTATAAAGATAATAAAATAACATGTAAAGACTTTTCTCTAAAATACTAAGTGAAATAAAGTAAAATACACACTATAAGTTAAGGTATTTTAAAAATGTATGTACATGCTTAAGGAATTGATACAATTCAGAAATATGAAAGAATATATATATTTTCTAAGCATCCATTTAATATATATAAATATACATATATTCATATATACAAATATACATATATATATGGGGGTGGGGAGAAAGAGAGAGTATTGCTGTCACCCAGGCTGGAATGCAGTGACCTGATCATAACTCACTGTAACCTCAAATTCCTGGGCCCTAGTGATCCTCTTTCTTCAGCCCCCAAATAGCTGGAATCACAAGTGCACATCAATACATTCCCTTAATTTTTAAATCTTTTGTCAAGATGAGGTTCTTGCTATATTGTCCAGGCTGGTCTCAGATGCCTGGCCTCAAATGATCCTTCCACCTCTGCCTCCCAAAGTGCTAGGATTACAGGTGTGAACTACCCTGTCCAGCTCATTATATCTTTTTGATCTTATAATTTTCTTTCATCCAACTATCATATCATTACTGAAATAAAAAGTGGGAACAAAATAAAATTTCTTCCTAGAAATTAGTTTGCCAGAAGAGATTTGAAGTTCAGCTTCTATTCAATGGAAAGAAAAAGAACCATAAATCTTCCTATGCATTATTCACCAGGATGCTTGTACAAGGGGTTCTTGTTTTTTTTTTTCTAAAAGAGGAGTTGATGATTGGATATTTTTCAAATAAATTTTATTGTGTATATTTAAGGTATACGACATGATCTTATGAAAATATTGGGATTTTTGAGGTAAGGAGAAGGGTGTCTCAGACAGAAAAAGCCAAACAAAAAAGCCAAATTTCTTGGCTTAATTCTTCGCTCTTCTTTTCCACAACAAATGCCTTATTTCCATAGCAAATGATTTCTCTCTAGAGAATCATAATGAAGAAATATACAAGTCAGTTAAGAGACTGTCCCCAGAATCTACCTTTTGGTGTTCCATTTCCCAGGAGTCTATGAATATATTAACTGGATAGAATTAAGAACTGAATTTAAATACAATCCTCTTACCATTAAAATTGTTAGAGATTTTGAATATAACCTATCATAAATATAAACATAAAATTCAGAAATATGAACAAATATTGATACAGGCAAGATTATAGCTTTGGTGAAAGCAGACCATAACATTACTGAAGGGGGAAGGGGGAAGGAGAGAGGCCTAGGGTTTAAGTCTTCACAAGGCACCTCCTCAGTCTCCATTTCCCTGCAGTCCTCAGAACAACTAACAAGGTCTAAGCATTGTTACAATACTGAGCCAATAGCCTCTAGCCTCAGGAAGCCTCAGGACACTGAAGGTAATTTTAATGTATTTACTTCTATAAATAGTGTAGGAATCATTCTTTAACATGAAAAATAAAAAGCAAAATTCCACATGAGCAGCAGTGCAAGTGTATTGTCCTTATATCCTAATCACATTTAGTAGGATGTGTATCATTTCTAAAGTACTTCATTCATAAGTTCAACCCAAAGGCTGACTTATACCTTTAGGTACAAGTGACAGTGAATCCAAACTAAGAATCTTGAAAAAAAATTTAAGAGACCAGTATAATATCCCCCAAAGCAGAAAACATTCAACTAAAACCAAGCAGGAACCTCTCTCAGGGTTCTTGAGGGGCTTGGTAGGTCCCTCAAGCCATGAAAATAAAGGAAAACTTTGAGTTCTTTCAGGAGATGTTCCAGGCACCTGCTAGCCTTGAAAAATGAATGGACAACCTGATGAGAACAACGGCCCTCCAAGCTAGCCACACTCAGTAGGAGTTTTGGTTCCCTGCAGAAACTGAAAGATAGCATCTTAGCATATGTTCTTGAGTTGTTTTTCAGACAACTATACTGGATGGAAAAAGCAGATAAAAGGAAACTGAGGAATTGAACTCTGATTGCCATTCTTTGTACTAAATTTTCCCTTGTGGGAAATTTGGTGGCCTGTCACACTCATCTTAAGCTTCCTTTCCACTGATTCAAAAATTCCTGAATCTGGCCAGGCGCGTTGGCTCACGGCTGTAATCCTAGCACTCTGGGAGGCTGAGGCGGGCGGATTGCTCGAGGTCAGGAGTTCGAAACCAGCCTGAGCAAGAGCGAGACCCCGTCTCTACTATAAATAGAAACAAATTAATTGGCCAACTAATATATATAGAAAAAATTAGCCGGGCATGGTGGCACATGCCTGTAGTACCAGCTACTCTGGAGGCTGAGGCAGCAGAATTGCTTGAGCCCAGGAGTTTGAGGTTGCTGTGAGCTAGGCTGATGCCAGGGCACTCACTCTAGCCTGGGCAACACAGCGAGACTCTGTCTCAAAGAAACAAACAAACAAACAAACAAATGCCTGAATCTAACTTCTTCCGCCTCCCACCAAAATTCAGGATATCCCATCCCCTTTTGGGGCCAGCCCTGCCTGACTTCCAGCTTACTCCTTGGTTATAGGGAAAAAAATGAAAAAAGAAAACAAAAACCCTGGCTTGTAAATCATGTGGGAGTTTGAGTTTTAAGTGCTAGCTGCTAGTTCTCCTTGCATGGCATCTTGCAATAAAAATGCCTCTTTCTGCTGCTATAACACCTGGTTCCAGTGTCTGGCTTTACTGTACTAAATAAGGAATCCTCGGTTTGGTTTATTAATAACAAATTATTGGTATCCAAATAGACTGAGATAAAAGTCTAGTGTGGATGTCTTTCCCATAGCACATCAGCCCTTGGCCACAGCTACCATCAGGGGCCCATCCAACAGCTGCATGAGTGATTTTAACTCAGGGACAGATCCCAGTGTTTGGCTGCTGACCAGGCATTGCTGCCTTGAGGGGGCTTTCATCTTGCAGTGTCAGAAATGGGTACTTGGCTTGGAAGATGTCTTGGTTGTCAATGGCAGATTCTCATGTGATGATACCAAGGTATTATCCCTTAAGACACTTGGTTCTGCCTTGGCCGGCTACTTGGCTTTGCCTCATCA